CACGCAGAGAGAGGGGGCTAAGGCAGAGAGAGAGTGAGGGCGAAGATAGAGTGAAGGCGGAAATAGAGAGTGAAGGCGGAAAGAGAGAGTGAGGACGGAGTGAGAGTGATTGGACGACGAACGAAACGGTAGTAAACGAACGAGCACCGCAGACGCTCGGTAACTTTCATACCAGACGAGGAATTAAAGAGACACCGCGGTGATAATGCCAGCACGAGCGGCGCGAGCGACAACGAAGAGAACGAGTCCACGGACGCTGAGCATGACGACGCGGAGCTCAACGATGCCACCCGTGGCACCCAACAAGAGTCATCGACCCCGGACACGCATACGACTCAGCACTGGTGACGGCAACGGCGGGACGGACGAGGTGGCTGTCAGCAGCAACGTCGCGATAGCACCTGTTGGAGGTGGTGGCGCAGACGGCAGCAGTGAAGATGACGACGATGTGTTCGACGACGGCAACGGCCGAGAAGGCGGCCAGGGCAACGGACAAAACAACGACGGCGGAAGTAACGGAGGAAGCGACGGGGTGCAACCGGTCGATGACGAGACGCACACAGCAGGAGCGGCAGCAGCAAATCGGGGTCAGGATGACAACGACCTGGAGTCGATGGACTGGTGGGATGCACTCACCCCAGGCCAGCAGAGATCCATGATGCGACGCTTTATGGGTCGACCAGCTGCATCGGCACCCGCGCAACCGACGCAACAACCCATCCTGATACAAGCACCGACGATGGACGCTCCACGGCGTCACAAGATGAAGAGGCTGCACATTGAAGATTTCAGCGGCAAATCCAGTGAGTCGGTCGAGGCTTGGCTGGCAACGATTTCCCAGGAGGTAGAGCGACAAGGTTGACTAGGAGGCGCCTCGTGGACGGCAGAAGAGCTATACTATGGCGCGACCGCACACCTGAAGCATGCAGCAAGCAAGTAGTTAATAAGTCTGCCGGACACCATGCGACCACAAGACCGCAACCTGAGTTACCTGGTACGACAGATGCGGAAGAAGTACGGCAGCCGTGATAATATGTTCAGGATTCAGCAACGACTAGCGGCGCGAGTCCAGCAGCCGGGCGAGCGACTCAGCGACTACGCTGCCAGCTTGACGAACATCGGCTTCGGCAAACGCATCCCAGCTGAGTCCTACGTGGAGGCCTTCATAAACGGGATCAATAACGAGACGACGGCGACGCAGGTGAGGGCGTACGAGTCTGAGACGCTAGACGAGGCCGTGCAGTTCGCGGAAGACAAGTGTGGAGAGTACGGAGAAGGCTTCAAGGTGACCGACTGGCGCGTGGCAAAGAGGCGCTACTGAAAACACCGCGAGTACGGAGAGGAAGGAGACGCGTCTCCGCCGAAGAAGAAATTCACGAATGAGGCGGCCGAACCATTGGACTGAAAAAAACTGGGCTTAGGGTTCGGAGGAGTAGAACCACCCACGTTTGACACGGATGGCAAGATCGTTAGTGGATTGGCGAAAACGGCTAAGAAGGACCCTCTCTCATTGGCTGCCCTTTAAGCATTACTGCTGGTCTCTGCCGGGTTAGGGAAGGAGAATACCAAGACAGCGGCGAACAAAGCAAATACAGCGCTGGCGTTGGAATCAAAACGGAAAACAAGGCGGCAGCGAGCAATCAGCAACGGCAGTCGCAGCAGAACGGAGGAACGGGCAGCAACGGATGGCGGAACCAGGGCAACAACGGCAACTATGGCAACGGCAACTATGGCAATGGCAACTATGGCGGCGGTGGTTTCAACGGTAGTGGCAACGGCAGCGGACAAGGGTTTAACAGTAACCGCGGTTTTGGCGGTGGACGTGGGTTTGGCCGAGGCCGAGGCGGAGGCTCGAACCTAGCTAATTAGGATCCGACTGACACGCGCTCGATCTTGCAGCGCAAGACCGAGTCCAAGTGCAGCTACTGCGGCGAAGTTGGCCACTGGGGGCGAGAGTGTGCCCGGCGTTTGGTGGATGAACAAGCAATGGGAGCGACACAACCGACGCCATTGGCGGCGAGCAGCAATCAGGGCGGCGGAAGCGCAGCTACGGCAACGGCTCCGACGGCTCCGGGAAACTAGTGGCGGCAGCGAAGGCGGGGGTTTCGTTGTCGGACGATGCCACCAACCCTAGAGTAGGAGAAGGAGGACCCGTGTGGCTTCGTGATCAAATAGCGATGGCACGGGTGGCGAGTGAGGAAGCGAGCACTCGGACCCAGGGGAAGAGCGCCGACGTAGACATCGGAGGCACAATAACCAAGGGGAAAAGTGGAGGAGAGGAAGCAGAGGAGCAGAGCGACGAGCCTATCGCCGTGGCTGAGAAGTAATGCGAAGCATTGACAAGGAATGCGCCGGCGACGGGTGTAAGAAAACGTGCGGAGGCGATGAGCACGCCCGGGTCGAGTGGCGCTGCAGGCACGTGCGCGGAAGAGACAACAGAAGAACCAGTGAAGAAGAAGCGGGCAACGGCAAATGCGTCCCAAGTGACGTTGACGATGAGTGGGGGAAGGACTGTGGCCGCGCGACGACGGCAGCGACGGAGAGTAGCGGACCTGGTGGCAGTCCAGAATATCCTGACGAGCGAGCTGAGAGAGCGCCGAGAAGATCGAGCGAAGGTGCTGCGTCTTGCAGTACGGCAAGCACTCGACGTTCTGCCAGAAGTTGAGCGAGTTGTACGGCGGGGAGAACATGTGCGGGCACTACGTGTCGCCGTGGCTACGGTGAAGAAGACAGAGGGGCGTGCGGTCAGGAAGAAGAACGGACGAACAGAGACGACGGAGAAGGCAGTCAAGACCCACGACACCGAGGAGGAGATCGCCGACGCCGAATGGTTGGCATGTTTGCAGCGCTACGCGGAGACGTGTCCAAAGAAGCTACCGGAGGAAGGAACGCTAGTAGAGAACGCTAGTAGAGATGCGGGCCGCGCGCAAGAGGGCCATCCGTGAAGTGAAGGCGTTCGAACGGGCAAGGCGACGGAAACGGCTGCAGAACCGAAGACACCAGCGACGAAACGACGGTGTAACGCGCCGGGCGAAGGAACTCGAGAAGAAGCAGAAGCCAGCGAAGTCCTACGTGTACCAGAAGAAGGGAAACTACGGAGATGTGGAGTTGGTCGCAGGAGCAGACGGCCGGGAACTGCGAGTGGCGCAATTGCGTGCTGCCGGATCAGGAAATCCAAGCTGCTTATCGACAGCCTTGCTGGCGTTCACTCGATCGCACACGCAGGAGGTACGACTGCATAGCTGCGCCCAATTCAGTGTCGCTGGAGTGGAACTGCGGAGGTACGGCAAGTGTATCACACGCGACGCACCAGTGGAATTGGTTGAAGGTTTTGGGGGCGGACGAACACGAGTGTTGGGAGTGTGGCGATTTGTCGGTACGACACAGTACCAGCAGAGGATCACAGTGGACGCACTGCTCGTGGATGGACAAGGTAACGAATTTCTGGTGGGCGAGGATTGGATGGTGGAGAAACAAGTGAAGATGAACTTCGCGACAAGAGAGCTCAATTACCGTGACGAGGGTAGACAGAAGGTGATCGTATCGTTCACGTGTCATAGTGTGTCGTCGCTGCCGCAGGAGGGCACCGGACGCAGCCATGGTGCGACTGGCGAAGACTGTCAGACTGACTACGAATACCCAGAGCGTGCTGCGAGTGGCGGTAGACGCGGAAGACGGGACGACAGGCGTATTTGTTCCGAAGCCGAACTCTAAACGGCACATGAGGATCGCTCCGACAGTTAAAGACGAATCGAGGACGATTCGTGGCAGGGGAAGAGAGTACGAGGATTGAAATCCTCTTGGGTGCCTCTTCACGTCACCCACGATCACGATGACGAAGGAGAACGAGCAAGGCAACGGACAGCGAGCAAGAGAGCAGAGAGTATCAGCGAACAAAAGGAGAGCGACGAAGTGAGGCAGCTGGGAGGGATCTCCCGAGAAGTCAGTAGCCCTGTACGAACAACCGGGGGACGATCTTTTGGGTGGTGTACCCAGAACAAGTTCCTGCACTGCGTAGAAGTCGCGGTTGCTGGATGAAGGGGTGGCGAAGTGTCGCATGCATGAAGATCAAGGCGAGCGACTGGCAGTTCCGGATTTGCGGCGCAGCAGGCAAGTGCTCGCGCAGACGCAGAAGAAGAAGGTGCCGGCATTTGTGCCTGTAGGAGATAAGCAATAACAAGTCAGTTGTTAGTGAGTCACGAGACGGAATAAGTAGGGTGGAAATCGGAGCGTGACAGAGAGACGGGTATAAGCAGCCCCGTAGGGTCGTCGGTATCAGCAGCCCGGAACGTCGTGAAGTTTCCCCAAAAGAATAGGGTAGTGGAGTTAGCCCCTGGTGTAAAAGCCCCTGGGATAACGATCGAGCGGCTTGGCATAGATCTCCTTGGAACACCACTAGTTGCCAGACCAAGGAACGCAGAAGTTGCTGCGGTGCGTGTGTAGGTTAGCGTAGGTGCGTGTGTAGAGCGGCGACTTCTGTGGCCACCAGACACTGTCACTTGGCCGAGGGCAAGACCGGCGGTGGAAGCAACGCGACATACGGAAACCGTCGAGTTTCTCACTAAGTATTTGACGCCACGTAAGAGTGACTGAGTGTCTCGGCGGGCTACGACCTGGCAGCCGATTACACAAAGCTTACTGGAGCTTTGTAGCTCTCGCCCAAAAATGCGGACGAAACGGTAATGCTCACCGATACTGCTGGAAACAACTGGACAATTGGTGCAAAGAGAATATCCTTGCAATGGAAGTTACCGATGATATGAGTAACCAAAGCTCCAGTCGGTCGCTATCACGCACATTCTATTCGATACACAAGATTTTGGATCATACATGTACAGGCCTTCTTAATGAAATCAAGTAAATCCCTTTCATGACTTCCGTTCAAGTCACATTTGACGCGTGATTATTGGACAGAGAAATTTAAGTTTTCAAGTCGCCACCGCAATTTCTAAAAATTCAATTTGCAAAAGCAGAAAGCAATGGACGCCTCGCCGGGTCAAATGGAGCTGCAGCTGGAGCAGCAGCAAGATGAATCATCCGTCACCAAGTTCGCGTGCAAGAAGTGCCGCTCTGTTTTATTTAAAAGCGATCAGCTAACGCCGCACGAACCAGAGCAACACCAGATCTCGACGCGCAGGAAGCTCAAAGACCTCAAGCACCAGGTAAGTGCGCACGTGGCCTGCTCTTCTTATTTCCTAGAAGAGACATTGCCCTGGATGGACGAGGCGCTGCTAGCCGAGGGAAAGATCCACTGCCCCACTCTCAAGTGCCAGTCGCGACTAGGAGCGCTGCAGTGGTCGGGCTCTCAGTGCTCCTGTGGCACGTGGGTCACACCCAGCATCAAGATCACCAAGAGCAGAGTAGACGCAGTCTTTAAGCAGAGCAACCTCAACATTGTCACGGGCGTTGGGCTTCCCAATGCGGCAGAAACCCCGCCGGACGTTAAATAACGCAAAAAAACGGCAAAAAATCGCTAGTTCATTTAACACAACGTGACATTTGCGCTTGTTGTCACGATGCATATTCAACTTAGGCGGACAGGTCCCAGTAGTTAACACAGGCGTCGTTGCCAACCGAGATGAGCTCCGTCTCGGAGACAAAACTCACTCCAGTAACTCCGTCCTTGTGCGAGAATTTAAAGGAGCGTTTCTTCATGGGGCTGTTGACATCCCAGATGTAGATACGTTCGTCAAGTGAGCCACTGGCAATGAAGTCGCCACTCGGAGCCCACGCCACACTCGTCACTCGAGTCGAGTGGTACACCCACATGCCCTGCACCTTAGCAGACCGTGAAGCCACGTCCCACACACGCACTTCACGGTACGTGTCACCGGCGGCCAACAGCGCTCCATCGGGGGAGAACGACACACACGTCAACGCTCCAAGGTGGCCCGTGATTTCTCCACTTTCGACCAATGAAGATCCGTCCACGACGTCGAACAAGTGAATCTTCATGTCTTCCTGGGATCCAACAGCCACAAGATCTTCAGATGGCGAGATGGCTACACACGTAGGAGTCCACGAAAACTCCGGAGTCTCGAACACCAGCTTCTGATCACGTAGAAGCTTCACTCCCTTGTTCGTACTCACCACAGCGAGTCCAGACTCGGTGATTGCCACGCCGTTCGGTTGCGCATTTAGCGCTGTAGCAGCGACATACTCGCTATCACTAGCAACGCGTAGCTGGTCGTCCCATCCGCTGCTTACGATCTGGTTCGAGTTTGCAGCAATGCCCGTAATCTTCGCAGTGTGGATACTGCCCGTCAACGCCTTGGCAGCTTTCGACGTCCAGGAGCACACGACGCCGTCGTAACTTCCCGTCAAAATACGGTTCTGCGTCGTCTCCGTAGCCAGCGACAAGATACTGACCTGATGTCCCTGAACGATCTGCTTGGGCTGCGACGGATTGTCCAAGTCCAGGAGGTTCAAGTCGCCTGAGAGACTGAGAGAGATGAGGTGGCTTTGACACCACGCCACCGCCACTTGCATGTCCTTAACTTGAGGTTTCGCACCTCCAAATGTGAACTTGGTCACGACACTACGTGAAGCTACGTCCCAGAGCAGCACCGTCTTATCAGCCGAAGACGTCAGCAACTGCGTGCCATCCGGACTCCAACACACAGAGTAGATAGACGCTTGATGCGCTGCTGGGAACTTGTCAACCAGCTCGCCACTCTTGCCGTCGTATAGACAGATGAGCTTATCAGAGCCCACACTGACGGCAAACTCGCCGTTAGGGGAGAAACGCACGCAGTTGACGAAGTTGGAGTGCAAGTTGTTGTTGTTCTGTTTGAACTTGAACGGTGGGCCTTCGTACACGCACACGTTGAAGTCCTCGCTGGCTGTCATGATGCGGAACGGACGTGTCTGACGGTAGTCTACGCTCAGGATTCTCTTCTGGTGGCCCACAATCTCGCCAATGCTGTTACCAGTGTCCCACATGAACACACGAGCCATGAGACCACGACCATCGCCCACGGCAACGATGCGCTTGCTGTCTGGGTCCCACGACAAGTCCTTGATCTCGCCTGCGAACACAGGGATCTCCAGCTTGAGCGTGTGCTCCGGGTTGTCGTACGACCACACGCGCACTTTGCCAGATACGTCGCCAGATGCTACCCAGTAGCCGTTGGGGGAGAACTTGGCTACAGTGGTGGGCTCATTGTGACCCTTGTACACGAACGTATCGGTCGGGTCGTCAAAGTTACGCACCACTACGAGCTTACCACTGCAGTAAATAAGCTTGGGCTCCTTCGGGTGGATACCCAGTACACTGGGAGCACCGCGGTTGGTCGTTGGGCTGGGACCCACAGTCGCCTAAATCATTAAAATATGAAAAAATGATTAGCTTCAACTGCGTTTTCAAGGGCTGTATGGCGCTGTAACTGAAGCAGAAACGAGAGCTGGGGCGTACCTTGAGGGCCGGGGGTGGCAAATTCTCTGTGGGATTCGTGGACGTGGACATAGGAGCTTGGATTGCAGGGGGAGATTCTGCGAGTGAAGAGGACAATTTAGCGACGAAATCCTTGCACCCACGTGTTGTAGTGCCCTGATACCTGTGTATGCCACACTAAAAGATCCGTTTGCCAATCAAAATGCACAATCTTCATTACCAGACGGCTTCATTACCGGTACTCTGCGGCTCCGATTGCCACACCCAAGGTGGCGCCTACATCTACGCAGATTTACGCCGTCACGGTGAAGGAATTGGACGTGGATTCATACGCTGTAAGTGCGCCTAGTAGGTGCTTCGAGTATCCGCGGTGCACAAAGCGATATGTGCCCATTACACTTGTGCGTCCACCTTTGCGGATGTTCCACTCGCAAGTGTTTTTGCTCTCGGTGATGAGATGGCGCTCCCAATGGTAGCGTAGATCCCAGTGCGCGTCGGTCAAGGTGGTTGTGTACGCACCATTTGAGCCGAGTTTCTGGATGTCACAAAACGACGAGACCAACGTGACTGCGTTCTTCGGGTGCGCACCAGCGAATACCGCAGAGGCCACGCTGCCGACGGCGTACGAGCTGGACGGCTGCGTGCGTACGTAGCTGAAGGAGCGTAGTAGAGGCGCCGTATCCATCATCACTCCTGTCTGCATTGTAATGAGGGAAGTGCGGTCGATCTGCATTGGGGTGGGTCCCACGTTAAGCGGGACAGAAGGATCCGCCACGGACACCGCGACTCGAGCGAGCTCTTGCTGCACTGCAGCCAGCTGGTTGGGGCCAAAGAGCGTCGAGGCGCCTTCATAATTTTGTGTGAGGTATTCCTCCTTGGTGGTCACGTACTGCGCGTAGGCGTTGCTGATAGCTGCCAGCTCGACTTCCGTGACTCCCGCCCCACCTAGAGCCGTCTTGACCGTGTTTCGAATACGCCTTCCCGCCATCGTGGTAGTCTCAAAGTTGGTAACCGCGATAGCAAACTGGCCGATCTTTACTATTTGAACAGGCAAGGTGTTGGGTACCCACGGCTTAGGCTCCATGAGTCCAACAGCAAAAAGCGGCACCTTGTTCGTGTGTTGGCAGTCCTGCACCCACTTCGGCGTGGATTTAATGACAGCACCAACTGCCTTAAACAGTGCGCTCCCCTTTAAGTTCCCTTCTGTGAACACGCTGGGGCCACGACCATCTTCGGTACCAGCAGCGAAGTTCTGCCCCACGACGGCGGGACACGTTCTATCAGCGTACGGGTTGTCGGTAGTGACCTCTACGCCGTCAAGCTTCACGTTGGAGAAGTCGACGTAAGAGAGATTGGCTATCACCGATCCCTGAATGAGCTCCGAAGGCCCCTTAATAAGAGATGAGAGCGTGTCGTATTGCCGCTTACCCATAATCTCAGCGGACTCGATTGCAGTCTTGCCTTCGCCTCTGAACGTGCCATCACCGTTGTCAACTCGGTTCGGACTCACATCCCCAGCATTCGCGATACCAACAGCAACAGTGACATTTGCCAACTCGTCTTCAAGCAAAAATTCAGCGTATCCTTTGTTGTCTCCACTGATCAGTCGATTCTTCGCAGTGAGGCTAGTGGGATGCACGGGGTAGAACGCCAATACGCCTCGAAGCTTTCCAGAGCTACTGAAGAATTGAAGGGCACGCATTGTCGTGTCGACGTTACTGCTGTAAAGCGCACGTTCCGTCGCCGGGTTAGCCAAGTAAGCGCTGGGTGATCGGTTCTTGCCTCCTTTATCGACTTCACCTTTGTTCCAGCGGATTGTTCCGCTCTCCTTCGAGCTATGAGCCTTGTCAATGGCGTCCATAATTCCGCTGACTATCCTGGCGAAATTCTCGCTGATGTATCCGAGACTAGTGACGTCGTATAAAAAGTATCCGGCTGTGCCTCCAGGACTTGCATGCGTGTGTGAAGCATGCAATACGACGTTTTGTTCCGTGTACATACTATTGTACTTGGTGGCAAGCTCAGCAAGGACTTCTTGGTGCACGAGCTGCATCACTCCCATGATATCACAGTGAACAAACATGACACGTTTGCGGGTATCTGGGTTTTCGATAAGGAAAGCTCTGGCATACAGGCGATTGAGGATTCCAGTCGTACCCTCCATTGGGTCGGCGAACCCCATCATAACGACGTCAGCAGCAGGGCCAGTGATATCGGTCTTTCCGATACCAATGTTGTACGCTATTGAGAGTTGGCTTAGAGCACACAACAGCAGACTGAGTAAGCAGGAAACAGCTATGCGGTGCTGCATCTTGTCGACGAGATTGTTGGTGGTTCGAGTTTGTCGTGGGGAATTTGAGAATGGCATCTCAACTCCCTCTCCCTGCTTGCAGTCTGGAGCTAGCACTTTTTTAGGAGCCATCATGTGACTCGAAGCTTTGTGAAGTGATGGAGGTGGCTTTCAGTAATGCAAGAGAATGACATTTGAAGCTGCTCTGTACTTATATTACATTGTGTAGATCAATAGAAACGATGATGTTTTATTGTTATCCATCAGCTCGTTGTCTCTTTAATGTAGCTGTATTCTTTCATTTCATGTCATAGACAATGACACCTCCATCGTCTCCTGCAGCAACCAGTTGGTTCTTTGACGCTGCTATTGCTCTCACTGCCGCCTCGTTTGCTCCAAGTCCATACAAGAGCTTACCCGTCTTCCAGTCGTGTACGTGAAGCATACCGTTTCCAGCGCCACTAAAGCACAATTGACTGCGAACATGTAGCGAATAAATGAAGTCCAAGTGTTCTGTGAAGCTGTACATGACGTCATACGATTGTCTCTTGTCCAGCACGTTGATAACTCCATCAGCACCGGCCGTAATAAGCACATTCGGGTCCTCCTTCGGCTCACAAAGAAACCCCACGGCACCTTTCTTACTACTGCGTGGGTCGATGTGAAGCTCTAGCGAGTGTGTTGCCTCCTTCTGCCTAGAATCCCATACTCTCACGGCTCCGTCTTGACCTCCAGAAAAGAAACAACTTGCTGTCTCCTCACTTTGGCTACCCAGTACGCTAGTTGTGTGTCCTCGATGAGCACTCGCATGTTTACGGAGGATTTTACTCGTCTGTAGGTCGATAAGCTGCACGCCTCCATCGCGATCACCACAAACAGCCCTCTGGCCCTCATAAAGTAATGAAACGTCTAGTATTGGAGCGGTGCTCACCTTCACTCCACTAACCTCGCGCTGGCTGCTTGAAGCTCGTCGACTGACGTTCCAAAGCCGCAGCATCTTGTCATAGCCAACACTTACAACCATCTCGTCATTAAGACTCAGCACACATGACACGGATCCGCTGTGCCCCACCAAGTCTTCACATTTGACGCCTGTCGCGTCCCATAAACACAGTTTACTGTCCATGCCGCCACTGACGATCCGTCGATCCGGCAAGTGTGTGACGCATGTGACCCATTCGGTATGACCGAATTTCTTAGTGTAAAGTGTCTTTGGACGACTAGTACTAGCTCCACGGGATGCTCGTCCAGAAGATGAAGAGTTGCTGCTTATTGGAATGACGTACAAGGCATGATCGCTACTGCCCATGACCACCTCGCTCTCGTCGGCGCTCATGCTCATGCACATGAGTGGTTGTGCTGAGACGGCATGTACTTCGCCTTCTGGCGTACATGGACCCTGTACCCATGCACCAGTCAGCTGTGCCGTCAGATCTGATGCTGATGACGTCTGTTTGGCCGAAATATGAGTCATCTTGTCACCGCTGGATGGCTTCAGCGACGCCTCTCCACTACCATGTTTTTGAAAGCCTGTTCGTGCCGCCTCTGCTGCTGCCAGCTCCTCGAATGCTGTGTCAAAAGCCTCCATGTAGCGGTTATTCTGGTGGTGGGAGACACTTGCGCTGTGCGCGACACGAGCGGGGCCGTGATCGACATCACCAGCCTTTCGTGAGTGTGTCGGACGCACCTTCAGACGAGAGAGTGTGTCGCCTACGTCCTCAGAATCTACCGCGAGCCCTGACGACGCGTACTCCTCGAGGCGCACATGGCTGTTGTCGGACTTGCTCGCCATCGCTTCGCTCAAGAAGATCGTTTTCGCTTGAAAGTTAGTGTGGTCACACAAAACGATCTGATTACAATGTGCAACCGTTTCGACCTGTCGCATAATAACTTCAACGACCGATGCTTATCTTAGTGAGCGGCGATACCGGCGATACGGTTTGGGTTTTCAGCCGCAATGAGCGCGTGCCGAGCATGTAGCACGGTGCTGTCGAGAGCACCTGAGCGATTCGGCTCCGCACTCGCTATTTTAAAACTCATCTGGATTTGCAGACAATGATGATACGTAGCTCTCTGCGGCTGTCCTGATTGAGCCTACAGCATCGCTGTCAGCAACACGTTGAAGCACCTGCTGGGCGTTTTGGCGAGGCCAGCACCATCCACGTGGCGCTCAACCATGGGCGCCTTTCAGCAAAGACACGCTTTGTTCATCAACGCAAACGTCCGTTTTTGCTCATCCAGCAGAGTATACTCGATTGTATGGGTACTGTAGTCATATTAAAACAGAAGATACCCAATCCATTTCTTAGAAGAGAAAGAGAAAGCGTAAAACATGTTGCAATAAATCTCCACTTACTGCTGTAGGAGCTAATGTGCCATGTGAAGAGTGATAAAGCTCTATATTTTTCAAACACAACATCCACGCAATACACCTGTGCTAAATGCTCCATTCTTATTCGGTCATTGCTTCGATTCGATGATTAACGCAAGCCTAATCATCGCTCGAGCCCGCATTTTGATAAAAGGAAGAGCCCATTTTTTTGTCGACGTTTCGAGACGCAACCGAATGACGTCGATTCCTCCAAACGCTTTTGTGCGGTTTTGTATTTTCTTTTGGAGGTTTTGCCCAGCGACATTCATTCTCCCCCACTTCGCTATTGGCAGGAGCTGCAGCAAGCTTGTCCGCGAACTGCATTTGGAGGTCCGTCATTGCCTACCGGACACCGTGACGAGAGCAGAGCAGAGCAAGAGGTGGCAGTGGGGCGAGAGTGAGTGAGTGAGGGAGTGGAGATCAACGACAGACAATAAGCGAGAGGCTGGTCGGCCGGACTCGCGTCCGTCAGTTTGACACGCTAAACTCAATTGTACGGAACTCCTCGTCTTCGTCGTAAGCTGACAGACACATCGGTGGCAGCTTAGTCACTCGTACCTAACGATTCAAGCCTGGAATTCTCTCTATGCAAGGTTCATTTGCCTTCGGTATCGCCAAAAGCGGGGTCAATGGACTGCCCGGCGTTCGTCGTGCGGCCACGGCCTCCCAGATCGGCGGACGTTTGTCTTCGCCCAGCTCCCCAGTAAGCGCTGATAACAGTGTAACTGGCACTACTGTCAGGTTCGACGAGGGTGTGTCCCTGGGCACCATGTCTACCATTCCGCGAGTGGCCTCATCGCCCATCGCTTTCGTAGACTTGGGTAGTGATCAGGCGGCACTGGCGGCCAAAGCGACGGTAGCACGTACAGACAGCGTGATCAGGAAGACAACGCCTCCTCCCGAGGCGACACAGGTAGACGAACTGCACCCGAGCAAGCGAGGAACCTTAGTGGACAAGACGAATCCGTTCATAGGGTACTTCCAAACAGGGACGGAAGAGAATGATGCATTAGCGGCAACAGCACCGACCACTCCGATGCCGTCGCCGCCTCCAGCACCAGTGCGGCGTGTGCCCATCCGCACACAGAGCAGCGCGACACTTTCGTCCATGTCGTCGTTTTATCCGTCAGTGTTCCTTACGTCTCATAAGAGGACAGAGTGGCTTGGCTCGCAAGGTAGTCGTCTGCCGAGTTTCTTCAAGCAGCGAGATGCAATGGAGTCGACGCAGCAGAAGCAACAGGACGAGCAGAAGAAGCGCACAGCGTTCTTAGATTCGTTGAAATGGGAGCCGTCAGCGTTGGCCGTTCAGACCACAGCGGATGATTATCGAGAGGGGCAGAAACAAAAGCAGAGAGCGTCTTTCAAGCGTACATTGTCCATGCCGGCGGCTATGTCTGCAAAGGAAGCGGTCGCCGCACTGTCGCCTATCGTAACGACGTCGAAAGAGGTGAAGGACTTCAGTACACCCTCCAGCGCTACTTCAGATGATACGTGCACTTCAAACTCGCGCTTTGAGCAGGATTTCGAGGTCGTGGGCTCTTTAGGTGAAGGTGGTCAAGGCTCTGTCTTCAAGGTTCGAAGCAAGGTTGATGGATGCTACTACGCGATCAAGAAGGTGGTGCTGCCTCGTGCTACGGAGCTGGATGCCAACCGCGCGGAAAGTCAAGCTCTGCGTGAAGTTCGCTTGATGGCGTCCATGTCTCCGCACGCTAACGTGGTGCGGTATCATACAGCGTGGACAGAGGTGGACGCGTGTGTTCCACACAAGAGCTCGTCGACGGAGAGCCTTCGCGGCTCGGATGTACCTTCGCTCGAGAGTGAATGCAGTCCTGAAAACCTTGAACGACAGCAACTGGAACTTCTGGATGAAGAGGCGGAACTGCGTATGAGCAGCATGGAAGCTGAAGATCAGTCGTTTTCGCTTGAGTTTTCGTCAGATTCACTTGGTTTCGACGAGTATTCCACTCCTGGATTTACTTTCGAGGACGAAGGTGAAGACGTAGACTCGGTGGGTTTAACTGTGGACGATGAGGCTGCGTTCGGACAACCTGGCGAGCTGAAGAACGAGATTAATCGTGCTACCCATGCTTCCCCGGCGGCACCGGTGGCTATGAAGGCGCAGGTGATCTTGTACATCCAAATGGAATTATGCGGGACGGCAGTGAACTCCGTACCTTCAACCCCGACTTCTTCAAGTAGCCACGAGCCAATTCATCGTATTCTGGACCAGTTGAAGACACCCCAGCCAGAACTGCAGCAGTTTGGCGACGAAACTCACTCAAACCTGGGAGCGTGGCTTCGATCGTCACTAGAGGAACGATCGGCATGGTCTAACACCTCCGATGTTCACCAAGAAGGACTAAAGCTGTTTCTCAGTGCAGTTCAGGGTGTAGCTCACATGCATTCGTACGGCGTAATCCACCGAGACTTGAAGCCTGACAACATCTTCATCCACGGTGACCAAGCGAAGATTGGCGACTTCGGTCTGTCCAAGTCTGTGTTTACAGACAGCTCGTATGGTGTTGTGTCACCTCGTGAGCGTCTACAGGAATTGGGTCTCAGCGACGGAGATCACACGACAGCGCTCGGCACTTTCACGTACGCGTCTCCTGAGCAGCTTGGGTACCGCTTCAGCAGTAGCAATCTATTGAAGAACGCTGCGACTCGTCTAAAAAGCGCCAAGTACTCGATCAAGTCGGATATCTTTGCGCTGGGTGTGATTTTATTGGAGCTGTGCTGTCCGTTCAGCACAATGATGGAGCGTTCTCAAGTGCTGACAGGTGTGCGTCACGGCGTTGTGCCTCATAAGGCACGACAACACTTTTCAATGGAGATGGATCTGGTGCTGCGTATGACTTCAATTGACCCTGGTGAGCGACCCACGAGCGAAGAAGTTGGCGAGCAACTACGCAAAATACTGGCTGCGTCAAGTACCGTGGTTACGCCAGCCTCAGCTCTGGAGGAGTTGCGGGAGCTTCAAGCGAAACTCGTAGCTGCTGTCCGCAAGGTACGTGATCGCTCACAAGCTACGCTGCAGCTTGAGGCCTTAGTCTCCGAGTTGAACGACAAGGTCCAGAACGTTGGCATTGCTCTTGCCTAAGCAAGTGGCACATTGTGGAAAGAAAATCTCTGAAACCCAACGAAAAAGCAAATATCAACAGCGAAGCAGCGCGAGACAAGCTACGCTGGCGGATTCCGTGAAGGTGTCTGACAGACAAGTTGTTCTCGCTAACTATGAAGTAAAACAAGCTGCACCCACGATATCGTGCGTGTGTGAAATGTACAATGACCTAGCAAAAAAAAAAGCAGAAATATGATACGGAACACTGACGTATGAACACCAAACGCCATTCTAACATGGTGATACTAGTAGTAGTTGACAAGATAAATTCATATCCTCAGCGGAAAATGCAAGGCGTGACTTGCTCAGTAGTAAAATGCCTTTCATGAATATGGCACGCTAGCAATTGCTAGGTAAGGCGTTAAAGAAGTGATAATGCTGATCTCGGTCGAAGACGCCGACCATAGTACCGCAGTCTGAGCATGCCACCGGGTAAAACTCGTCTTCTTGCAGTAACCGGGCAAGTTGCTGACCACTCGAAGTTGCCTTGTTGCTAGCAACCAGAGTCTGTCGTTTGTGGAATGGTAGCGATGCTGGCACTTGGCTGCCTTCACCTGACGTGTACGCGAGAATCTCATCACGTTTTACACGACAATTAATCGCTGCAGTCGCTCGATACTGGTTCGTGTATGTTGCATGCCTTCAAGTACCGGTAATTGCAGTTAGTAGCCGTTGCTTAAACAACAGCAAGAAAGTTAAAAGTTTACCTCTCACAAACCATACACACCGTCACGAAGCAACATGGACAACACAAAGTTGCATCTGTCTCGGGTTTTGTAGCACGAGTTCCACCTACACAGAGCATCAGCGTGTAAGAATGTTGCCTGCCTCTATAATGCTGTCGACAACGTACACAAGTTTGTCTGCACCCACTGCTCGTCTGCGTCGTCCAGCTGCTCGTCGTACAGCGGATCTGTCTCCCCTGTCTCGTTCTCTTCTTCGTCTTCATCATAATCGTCCTCTCTCTTTGCAACAGGACGCCGTCTGCCCAAACTCTTCTTCTCTGGCGCATGGCCTTCCGCTCGTTCGGTCACTGGAGATGGAGATGCACCCGACACCTCCATAGCCTCCGCAAAAGTCACCCGCTTCTTGCGCTGCGCTTGGAATCGGAACGGAGCTTCTCCGTAGCCTCCATCGCTCATAGAATTGTCTGTAGCAGTATCTAGAGCTTCTTGCAGGTGCGTTCGTCGTGCTGTGTGTTGCTCTAACGCTCGGGGTGAGACTCTCAGCTCTTCACCTCCCCCGAGCTCGAACACACCTGGAGCTGGAGCTTTCATTTGTTCTTGCGTCCGTTTAGTTGCTTTGTGCGTTGGTCTACTGCCGTTTAAACTGCTGGTTGGCGTCAGAATTCTGCTGGAGTTGATGGAGCTCGAGGACGCGAACACAGAGGCCAGTTCTTCCACCGGATCGCGCGTTTTAGTGGCCACAGGCGACATTGGAGTATCCTCCACGTCGCTCATGGACTCGTCACTTGGTAAGAAGGCGAAATAGTCCTCGTTGTCTACGTTGTAAGCGGAGAAAGACACGTCGTCCCCGCCATGGCGCCGTGGCTGGTGCATGTTGCTGGAAAAACCGGATTTGGCGAGATCATTACGCTACACCACTATGGCTACATTTTTCGACGAATAGGGTGATTAGCTTGGGTTCTTTGACATCCACACCGGAGGAGCCATGCGAACAATCCTTGTGACGGTAGGCATTTCCATGCTTGGGTGGAAGATGGAACACGAGAGCTATCCCCCTGAAGCCTTTGGGCTGTTTTTTTTTGGCCGATGCTACAGTCCATGCGTCGACTCAGTTTATTTTCCATGTAATACTCCATGTAATGTCCATGTGTCGAAATAAATTACTTACCACTGTTTTTAAAATCCATAGTGAATGGAAGTTGTTAGACCTTCGCAAACGAAAGTCCTCTGACATCTCTCGTACATACCGGTATACAGAAGTCAGGAGGTCAACCATACGCATGAACATTAGGCGGGTCGATTCCAGTTTCAATAGAAATGAGATTGTATTAGTTGCATTATGGCTTGCTACCGTGAAGCACGAAGTGAAGGATGCGGAAGCGTAACAGCGTTAGACCAATCGGAGTTACGTCCAGCGACACACTCTTGTCTACATATCGCCAAAACCTCAACATTACGTAGAATCCGCAGTTGTATCCGTCTGTCTGGATCGGTCCATTGACGGACACAACTTTGAAGTCGTCGCTGAGCGTAGTAGCCAGATCCCACGACATGCGGTCCAGTACGTCCTTGTACGTCTTCAGGTTCATTGAGTCGTAGTACAGGACATTGTTCTGCTTGCCATCCACGATCATTGCACACCAATGCATGTTCCCAAAATTTACAGGAATGAGCAGTACATCCGCTTCAGTGAGTAGTTCCTGAACCTTTGTCTTCATTTTTTCACTCATAGATTTCTTCTTCTTTGACGCCGAGGCTGCCTCGACACCGACGATGCGAACGCCGGTGCCCGTCCTGTACAATCTCGCGCAAAAAGCCAAAATCAGCGCATCATTAGCCCATTGGGGCGGCTTGAGACGGTACAGCATCGCGTAGTGGTAATCGTTGCCGTCAATTGGGATGGTATCTTGGGGATAGGCGCGAGCAATGGCCTCTGCCATGCTCTGAAGTGTCGATTGTTGTGCTGCTGGTATGGCGCTGGCTGCATCCTGTGTTAACCATTTGGTAAACGCCATTCCATCATCACACGAACGCTTCACGTTTGCTAAGTATGCCATGGCCTCAATCTGTTCGCGTGAAAATGTTCCGATACCCGCGATGTAGACACACTCGATCTCCGGGTTTTGTCCGTTGCTGTCCATGATTTGTCCAGGTATTGTAGATGTTTCTTCGTCTTTTTGTGTAGTTTGACTCTGGGTGAGTACATCGATGGCTGTTTCATTGGTGTTGCTCACAGGCAGCACGGCAACGCACTTGTCCAACAGTTTGGGTGGAAGTAGGTAGAACGCGTTTTCATTCAGCACAGGCGCACTCTCTCTAGTGTACTTGGGTTTCTTGCTACCCGCGTTGTTGTACTTGGTTTGGAGTGGCAGAACACGACGTAGAGTGTCTTGAAGTGGAGGCTTCTCAAGTTGAAGACTGCGCGCAAGTTGTATTAATGTCACCTCTCCAAGACATCTTCTATGGGCTTCTGACTCGTTAAACAACGCTCGTTTCTTCTTGTCGTCTGCTTCTCTCTCCTTTCTGTTCAACCGGGGCCTACCAGACTTCGCAGCTTTGGGGTTCAGACGGATGCGCAATCCACTATCAGTATTTTTCTCTTCGTTGTCATCAGGAGTGGTCTCAAGCGCAAGCTGCTCCATTTCGGGCTTGGTTCCGGTTCGATTTCGGCTGGCTGTCACTGGAGAGGTCACTTCATCTGTTTCTGTTTCTTCTCTCGTGACTGGAACCTTCGTTTTTTCAACCTTTACACGTTTGCGCTGCCTAATGTTCCTCCATTGTTGCACGACGAAGTCTAAATGCTCACGGTACTCGTCGTCATCAGAGATATCGGCTAGCTCACTGCATATAGCCTGAAACGCGCTGATTGCCTCCTTGTACTTAACATTAGCGTCAAGCACCTTGTGTTTCGCCTCCCCTGGTTTAAACTCATTAAGCACAAAAGGCCGCGGAGTCATCGGTTGTTCAGCAGGATGTAACCATCTAAATGAATGACATGTCAGACCCTCAGTACAACATCAATATTGGATATTACATGGACAACTCACGGCTTATACGTGGATAAATTGTGAGTTAACCCACCTTTCATCGATGCAACTCAGCGGTATTACGCTTCCTGGGGCGTTACTCCACTTCCGAAACGCGATCGCGTGTTGACAAGGCAGACGCATTGCAGAAGCAAACGAGCAAGTGCAGCTCCACGTTTTCAAATCCACAGCATGCGTCTTGTGTTTACCCGTCACCTCCACGAAGCCTGGATTTGACTTTAAGTCGAAATTGAACTTGTCGACCTTCGAACATGCCATTACGTACTCCTTCTCCACGTGTGTTGCTACGAAATGCGTCGTAAAGCGCAAAACTTGGCACATCTCCTCGTCGTAGTTGCGGTTGACACGTAATCCGATCCTAGTCTTGTCGAACACGTATTCACTGGAAGTCCTGGCATCAGCACCCACAAGGGCCTTCACGGTGTCCGTCATGATCATGTTGGAGTTTACCCCGTCCTTAAAATGCCCAAACCAATTCTCTTAATGGTTGTTCGTGTGGACGCGCAAATGTGCCAACCGTGAGCAGTGGTACATGACCCACATCTCCGTACAAGTGTTCCAGTTTTCATCCATGTAGTTGTAAAATGCCATATATCCAGTCCTAGTGCAAAGTGCCTTCATGGAGGTCCAATTGGTCTCGTAGATCTCTGAACTTAAGGCATATACCATGTTGTGGACTAATGCGTCGATGGCGTCGTGATCGTCCGACGAAAGTTTACCATATTCTGGCTTCCTGGACGCTGTGCGGAGATATTTGATGACGTGAAGGACGCAAATCAACACGCACGACTTAGGGAAGTACCGACGCAACACGCGGATCTCATTCAGATCTTTGTCGACCATTATAACTTGAACCTTGTCGCCAATCTTATCGTCAATCCGAAATAGATGATCCAGCGCTCGGGACATCTGCCAATCGGCGTTTCGTTCGAGCAAAGACTGTTGTACAGGCTGCCCACGCCCATTGTCGTCTATCATCATGAAGGTACAAAGCTGGTAGTTGTATCTAATGCACATTACATGGACAAGAATCGCACAATACATGGGCATGACATTAAAATAAGCATGGACAATACATGGACAAATAATTGCACAATACATGGGAGGACTTACCGATTCGTTTTGTGGGTACAGTCCACAAGCAAAAGCTCTGGAAACCTAGTAACCATGTCGCGCATATGTCTGGAAGTCATACTGATCACACCAGAGTGTCCCGCATCAGTTTCGTCCACCGTGCCTACGTTACCGTCAATAGCTGCGAATTCCGCGAGAGTTGCGGCGCAAGCGTCGTCGTCATTCACCCTCCTCTTATCTCTGCTTTAACACGTTGCACAATGTTGTCCACATCCTTCTTGACGAGGTTCTCGCCTCTCCCCAGAAGATACTCATAGATGCGTGCGCGCTTTCTACCGTACATCACCATGCTGTCCACAGCATCCTTCGTGTCCGTGTCGTCCAACCTACGGTTCTCCGCGTACGTCTTGAACTGCGCTGTCCCCACCGCATGGTTGTGCTGGTACACACCGTTCTTCACGCGAAGGCAGCATAAGCCGTCAACTTGCACGAGCTGCACCACAAATCGAAATGGACAACCGCATCCTCGGACGAAGTGCTTGGTTCGCAATCCGCTGCTCCTGTCTTTTGTTGGCCAGCCATGTGTGCAGATGTATGTGCGTTGGTAAGCACCCCACGTCTCTGGTACGTACGGAACATCCATTCCCTGCTTTGCTGCCGCTGTTTGACCCAGCCGCTTGTTTCTCAATACGCAACTAAGCGTTGACTGGATGCGGATGACCTGGCGGGACTTTACCGAGTAAGCCTTCAAATACTCATTCCACGCCGACCAGCTCGGATACGTCACGTCTGCGGGGCCCTCCACAAGGGAGGGAGAGTCTACGACCTGGACAATACATGGACGCTTGAAATCGTCCGTGTCAGGCGAGGCGTCGTCCGAGTTTGCAGCCGCGCCGGAGGCTGCGGAAGCCGTGGTGTCGATATCTGAAGAGGAGTCGGACGATCCACCTTGTATTTACAAATAGATAACGCACGGTTAGAAACACGTTCACAGAGACCACAAACAGCAAGATAACGCACCTCAGACGTCGCGGAAGCGGGTAGACTGAGCGACATGGCCGGCGATTGCAGCAACGGTTGATCTCGTGACGTAGGCTGCGGCGTGCAGGTAACGGAGCGGCGGCGGCGGCAATGCTCGAAGGGGGGCGAGTTTGGGTTTGAAAAGCAAATGAAAGGCTGGTGTGATTGGTACAAGTACCGGTATACAGTATTGTACCGGTATTAACTACATAGATCACATCGTGGACAATACACGGATGAGAGTTGGACAATAATTGCACTCAACGAC